ATGTTGCATGAGATTTGGCACGACTTGCTCGGCTTTTGCCGTCAGTTTGCCGTCATATGTTGCTCGGCACGTCTTGTTCGATTTTTGCCGCAAATTTGCCGTCACGCGTTGCTCGGCACATCTTATTCGCTATTTGCTGCAAATTTGTTATCACACATTGCTCGGCACGATTTGCTCAGTTTCTGCTATCAATATGCCGTCATACTACTAATGATAGCTTGTCCGGTTTTTGTCAGCAGTTTGCTATCACGCTTGCTAACAGGTCGTGTCGCAATATTGCACACATTTTGCCGACATTACTTGATATAGCAAATCGTGCTGCAGTTTTGTTGTTATTCTGTTGATAAAACTTGCAGCACGCTTTGCCGAAATTTGCTTTTGGCACGTTTGGCTATCAGGGTACAAACTGTATTGTCAAAAGCGATAATGTTCGAAGTTATAACGTAGCATACTTTTATTATTGACATCACGATAGCGCTTATAAAATTACTCAACCGGTTTTCCGAACGCACATCGTTACTTGGTTATCGTTTTCTGTTAGTCATTTAGTAGATTACTCATCCAATAACGTAACATCTCAATGTCCACGCCCAAGAAAACTAGTAGACTAGTTTTATGTATTAACATAATTATGTAACGTATTTATATAAACGTATTTATGTAACGTATTTATATAAACGTATTTATGTAACGTATTTACATAAACTAGATTTTTATATAATTATTTATATATTATATAATTATTTTTATATAATTATTTTTAACATAATTATGTTAACGTATTTATGTTTTACATAAACTAAATTTTATTGTATTCATAAGGAACGAATCACATTAGATTTCAGTCAAAGGATTTAAATATCACTATAAGATCATCATTATATCTCATAATATTATCTATTTACACAACAAGACACAAATATATCAGATACATAGGAGAAGATCGAGTAGTATCGGGCAAAAGTTGTTTCAAGCATTTGTCGCTGAAGGCAGCATCTGTGAAACAATCGGCTTGTTGACTGAAAGAGGAGAGTAGTCAACTCCTTCAGTCACACGCCGATTGTTTCACAGATACTGCCTTCAGCGGCAAATGCTTAAAACAACTTTTGTTCGATACTAACCGCTGTCCGATACTACTCGATCTTCCCCTATAGAGCAGTTAGTAAAACTCTAGCAGTTAGTAAAAATCAATAGAGATTGATTTGTTTACTTTCTAATTTTGTTTGCAAGGGACTTGCAAACACAGAACGACGGACGACTGAAGGGAAAAAATGTTCGGACATATCTACCATAGATAACACCGAAATATGTCGTGACAAATCGGTGGTGTTGCCTTAACGACTTAACTGAATAAGGAACTAGAAGAAGATGAAGAGGAGATTATTATTCGGCATTATCTTTGCCAGCTTACTATTTGTATACATCATAGTCTCAACTGAGAATGTTCGCCAAAGGATACCTTTTTTCGATGCCACGGCCTACGGTATCAGATGTTACAATGAAGCCTCAACTGTGGAGGGCATTCGTGATTTCATGCGAGAATCAAGTATAGTATTTTGTTAATATTCTTCTGAGTTGTCTGAATGTTTAATGCTCTATCTCTGACGATAGTTATAATTATAATTTTCTTAATTTACTGATAGTTAATATTTGTTGAGTGTTAAAAACTAACAATTATTATTAAGAAACAAAATATATTCGGTTTTTTAATTAAAAAAAATGAATGCTTTTTTCAATGCAGCTTAGAACGCGGCTGCCGGTGCTCAATGAGAGGATTTCTTTTCTGAAAATTATATGAAAGTATATTTTCATTTAATATATCAGTTGAGCTTCGAGTTTGCATAAAAAAAATTCAAACTTTACTGAAATCGAGTGTGAAATCGACTGTGTAGAAATACAAACGTATAATTTCAAACGTATTTATCTTATCGTTTGGTTGTATCGATTTATTTGAATTAAGATAACGGTTACGGATTGAGATTAGAAACTCAATTATTTGTACAAGTTTATTGATCGAATGTTAAAGCGAATTGTTGATGCCAATATAAGCAGCTAATATTATAATAGTTTTAAAATAAAAATATCCCAATTCGGGAGAAGGAAGAGGAGTCCGGAAATATTACGCGCTTGTATAACAGTTTATACGATACCTAATTTTATATTAATGATGTCCATATTTACGTTGTTTTAGTCTATATAGAATAATGGTATACTTAGTACAATCTACTCTAGCAGTTTCATAAATCTAAAGAGTCGTTAAACTTCTAACTGATATTCTAGATTTTTTTCAAGTATTAAGAATGTTTGTGAATGTAATCTTAGCATATATACTTGTAAAAGAACCAAGAGGAATATAAAAAAATTCCCTCCATGTCTTCATTATAATGTATACTTTTTTAATACATTAATAAATCAAGTTTTTTTAATACATTAATAAACCAAATTTGATCCGTGAAATTGATATTATTATCTCAATTAGATTAATTGAATTAATATCACTATTCATAATACACTATGAACTTATTGAACTTCATGATTTTTAGCTATGTTGATGTTTTTTATCAAACATCAAGTAAAACAATGAATTTTCATACGGTTCATCTCAACATCCGTTCTTAATTTAAGTAATAATGTATTTGGAAGAAAGAAATGTTCAATCTGCAACGTTCTCCTGTTTTATGCTTCAGGCGCGGATAGATTGGAATCAGGTCGGAATATCTTTTTCCACGAGACTTCCTGCTTCGGCCAGGAAGGTTTTACACTAAATGCCCGGCAAGCCTGTGCCGTGGAATCGGCGGCGCGGATGAATCCGTCTATGACCGTGTACTTGCTGTTCGTGAGTAAGGCCGAGTTTTCGAACAATACCCAAGAGATTATCAAACATCTGCTCAAGTATCATAACATCAAGATCCGGTACATTCAGCCGGACAATTACATGAAGAATACGCCGCTGGAGGCGTGGTACGCTAAGGGCGCGCTGAAAAAGAGCTACTGGCCCTACAGCCACATGTCGGACATACTGCGATATCTGACCCTGTGGAAGTACGGCGGCATATACCTGGACCTGGACGTGGTAGTTACCACCTCGCTGGAAGATCTAACCAATTTCGCCGGTGCTGAAGACTGGGACGACGTCGCCGCCGGCGTCATCGGGTTCGACATGTCGGAATTGGGCCGGCGCATCGCCGACGCTTGCGTGCGGGATCTCAAAAAGAATTTTCGCGGCGATCTCTGGGGCAATAACGGGCCCGGTGTTATCACAAGGACACTGCAGAAATTCTGCGCCACGAAATACGTAAGTATTGATCGTGAAAGGCAAGATCTGAGAATTACCCAGGTAGAACACAGAAGTCACGATGACATCAGCAGGATATCATCATGACATTATTTGTCACTTAAATGTCATTAATAGTAAATGATGAAAAAATGACAAAGATAGTGATAAAAGTGATAAAAATAGTTATATGTTGTATTATAAGTAAAAGTGCTTTAAAAGAATCTCTGTAGTTTTCGAAATGTTTATATCACTTTAATATTTTGTTGCAATTGTATAGATAGTAGAATGAACACATCTCAATAATCAATAAAAGAGATGATGTCAATATGACTAAATTATGATATATTTTAATTTGAACATAAGATATATCACTATTATATGATTATACTATTATACGATTACACTATTATATTATATACCACATATTAGGATTTTATTTCGATATTCACTACCAGTATTGAAAATTTATAGTATGTATACATAACGCAAGGTTGTCAGGTGTGACGCAATTGCGCAAATGTGGCTCTTTGACTCAGGTAGAATAGATAGTCAAAATAATGTCAATTTGACGTCATTTTGACCAAATGACGTCAAATTGATATTATTTTGACTATCAGTTCTATCTGGGATTAGTTGATTATACTAAAATTGGCTGTGTTCGAAATGTACTGCTAATACTGAAAACTCTACAGTTCATGTCACATATAATATAGATTTTCAGTACTGGGGCCTTATTTGATAACCACTTATCGATCTGATAATTGTAGATAAGTGGTCGATAAGTGGAATAGGATCCCTGGCATGAAATTTCAAACGCAGCCATTGTGTAAATACTCACTTAAAAGTACAATACTTTCAAAATGAATAATAAGGAACTATAACAACTCATTTTTTAATCATTATTATATCACATTATCCTCACTTTAATGTCAAATGGACATCATTTTGATGTTATTGTGATTTTCTGTTTTAGTGCACAGTTTCACTCTAAAAACAAATATTCAGAGTGCATTCAGAAACGTCCTGAGGATGTCCTATAGACATTTTGTGTCCTCATGACGTACCTGAACATTTCTTGTGCTGTTAGGAAAGAACCACTATAAAATTATTCCGATGTCAAGAATTCATCACATATTCATAAAAAAAACTACATTAAATGACATTATGATGATATTTCTTGAAATGACTTTCTTGTGATATCATAGTAATATTTTTATGAATTTGTGTTCTACTTGAGTATTTCTGGATATTATTATGTGTGAGCTTATTTTACTATTTCATAAATTATCACTATCCGATGGACACGGCCCATTGTATCTTTAACGAGAGTTTAAAGACGTTATTTAATTCTTGGCGATTTAATCGACCAAATAATGCGGTGTTGTGTGAACGGCATCGAGTTTTTCTTATCGACTCCCTACGGTATTATGAATATACAGTACGACATTGCGGAGAAAACCGTTGCTAACGAACGACGCGATTGATTTCTATGCAGTATTCTCTATTTTATATGTTAAACGTTGCTATATCGTTGAGTTATTATTGCTATTAAACCGCTAATCTGTTCTGTTGCAAGAAATAGATAATCAGAGAAGCTTAATTGCTAAAAATATGAAGAAGAAACGAAAATAGCATGCTTCGGCACGTTAGAGATTGAAAACTAAACGCAACTTGAATCTTTCTTTCCGCAGGCACGCGATATGACGACCGCTCGTTGTCACGGTTTCACTGTATACCCACCGTCAGTCTTCTACCCCATCCACTACACGGAATGGAAAAAATATTTTGAGGCCAAAGACAGCGATAAGACGATGAAGATACTGAACAAGACGAAGGCAATCCACGTATGGAACAAGTTGAGCAAATCCGAACAGGTGCGAGTGGACAGCAACGTACCTTATGCTGTCATTGCACGGAGGTATTGTCCCTATGTTTTCAACAATTGTAAAACAGTATTCTGAGAACCGAACAATCAGCTGGGAAGAGAAAAAAGGAGAGCGAGTATCGTTCAGCATTGTTTTATATCAACATACCGTGATACCGTGATTTGTTTGGTACAAACAGAAAGCGACGATGTACTCAAAATGCATTTAACGAGACAAAGGCTGATTTAGAAAAAAATATTCTGATCATCCCGCAATACTATTAAGACATAAATACAAAACTGTATATTTATAACAATATCAAAGAGACCAACATTAATTTAAGTATCAACAGAAATTGCCGCGTCCAGCAAGAGTATCGCTATAAACGCAGCGCGCGCGTGGAATAACACAACTCGTATGCGTCTGCATACGTGTAGGTTATGTGATGAAATGATCTCGACATGAGTACATTGATGCTTACCATATTGATCACTTGTATAGTACGAACCAACAGGTCCTTTCCTTCTGCCGAGAGAAGTCTATTTTTACACGAAGACTCGTCGAGCTATATTATTCGCGTTTAGATAGGAAATTTATTCGCGTCATGAAAGAAAAATGCAAAGGATCAATTTCACTCATATCTTTGATATACAAATATGTCTCGAATGCATATCGGATATTTACATTTACGCACATATCTCTCATAGTGGATCAATTCTTTTAATATAGACATATCATATTAATTTTATTTTAGTTCCCAATCGAAGTATTAATATGTATACACGTGACAAAAGTTTCTCCAAATAATATTTGATGTAAAAAAAGCTGTGTTTAGCAACATACAATATCTACATATCATATTTGCTCATATTTCTTTCGATTAGATGGATTCGGTGCACAAGTTGGATGAATGTAATACTAAAACGGACCCATTAGTACAAATTGTTAAAGACAATTAATTGTTATTAATATTAATATTAATAGAAGATTCAGCATAACAGTGGCTAATACATATTATATATAATATGTGTTTTAAATTTTATACGTATATGTATGTATAAAATTTAAGATCACATGATTTTTTCGAACAAAGAGATATGTTGAATCATTATAGGGAACTGAACACACTCCTTTCGATTTTATTATATTATCGATATCATAATTAATATTAATATTAATGTTATTGTTATTAACAATAATAATTCACTATAAATAAGCATAGTTTAAGTATCAGATTAGAGTAATTTTATATAATTATATATGCTGAAATTTAATTTCTTGCAAAGGCCAAAAAATAAATAAGTAATATATCTCACTTTTTAATTTCCTCACGATAAAAATTCAACATGAATGTTACTATAGTTGATCTTATGGCTGTGTCATATTTAAGTTTGTAGGGGAAGGTGATAGTAAAACAAATATAAAAAAGACACATAGAAAATATTACATAGTTACAATAATTCGCAGGTGCTTCTGTGTATACACAAACGTATAAAGTCACGTACAGAACGTACAGGCATGATCTATATATTTAAACGTACATATCCATTTTTTCTGAATGTTTAGTTACGTATCTATTGTATATGTTTTACTTTAACAGAAATTTTAATCTTAATAATTTATTGTTTAACACAATAAATTTTGGATAAAAGTTCCCCGGTAATCGTGATGGAAGTGTTATATGGAAATAGGAAGAAATTGAACAGTATGATCATATAATCGAAGTTTGTTTTGATGTGCCAACAGGTTAATGTTTTAGGTGATTAACATGTAACTCGTTGAACCTTGTTAAACTGTTGAAAATCTATATGTATTGCACATATAGATTATATGCTCATATTATAAGTATTAAGATCGCGAAAGTTCAATATACGTTATAACGTGTATGTGTCTGTCAAAACAGTATGTCGAATAAGCGCAATTAAAAGGCCAAGAAGAGTCTAAAGTTGAGAAATGTAACTTATATATAATCCTTTGTACTATTCTACATACATTATAAAACTTTAATCGTGTGTAATTAGTATAAAAATCAATGCGAACACAAAAATTCGCTAAACACGGAAAATATGTATCAATATTTCTACAACAATGTTCAAATTATTTTAAATGATATTCAAAGTGAACATTTCCGCTCTATCTTGAAATATTTGTGTATGTTTATAGTACAATGGAAACATCGTAAACTCTATAAAGACAATTTTATGAGTGCGAAGCGTTGAGGAAGGTTTTGTAAACTTTATATTTTAATGGTGTATGATGGAAATTGTTTTGTAATATTTATGATTCGATATTTGAGTCTGTTCCTATGTACAGTAATTCACATAAACATAAGCCCCAGTGAGAAGTTAGAGATGTATTTTATGGATGAATAAACGATATGAATATTGACAGCAGACATTATGTAAAAAAACGATAAAGGATTGTGTTTATTTCAATGTGATATTAGGAAAGTTTCTGTATCGGGTTAATGTCAAAATATCAAGTATATATTTATTTGAAGTACTTATATGTAATATGGACATATTTTTCTCATTTTTAGTACATTATATGTTATCGAGAACTTTAGAGAAAAATCGTGATAGCAGAAAAAACGCAAGATATTGTACAATTACTAATAAAATACATGTAAAAATTGTTTACTTGCTTTTTATAATATTTTATACCGTTATTTACAAAATTAGTAATTATTCCAATCCCAGCAAACACTACTCTAATAGTAAAGATGTTCAAAGGACGTCCTATATCTTCATGACGTCCCCAGGACATTTCCCCTGTCTCCAGATCTTATGATATCCAGATCTTATCTATTAGAATAAATAACAGCCCAGATAGAAAAATGTGTTCATTCTGAGCTCATATTGTATCTTCAGACATGAGGACAAGAATAGACACCGATGCGGGCTCATATGCGCCTCAGAAGGTAGACATGTTATGATGTCACAAAAATACCTTATTTAATAATAATAATCAACATCATGTCAAGAATTTGCAATATAATTTGTACATCATTTGTGTGCATCTGGTGCTCATGAGATCATTTAATGATCTTTAAAAAAGTATCAAATTGGAGTCATAGTATAAAGTCACATTGTGATGAAACATGATTATCACGTATTTCTATTTGGAAGTTACATAACTGTTAGTTATAATTTTCTCAATAATGTAATTGTTACATAATGCGTGTTATATAACGTGCATACATATAATAGTTACACTGTTGAGTGTGGGAAATAATAACTCTTATATAACTATTGGTGTTTGCTGAAAAAGTTCTTGTAGAGACGACATCTTATCGAAAATGGTTGAAACACGATTTTTGACGTATTGCAAGCAAACCGTGCATAACGTTAAAAAACAGTCGCGTTTCAGCCATTTGCGATGAGACCTCGTGCTTATGAAGTTTCCACAACATTTCACGCTCTGGTTCGTCAATTTTTTCATTAATATCTCGAAATTTTACGTGGTTGTTTGGAAGATGGTAAAGGATATTTTACTTAGATCGATGTATTTTACCTGCATAAATAATAATAATATAATAATCATAATAAATTAATAATAATAATAATAATAATAAATTCACAATTATATTTATTTACTTTTTTCTAGAAATTAATTAATGTATTAATCTACTGTTTTAATTCATGCATAAATTGATTATACTATGTTAGAAAACAATATATTCAAAGATAGATCTTTGTCGCGCCATTTCATGGCCAAATGGTTATCTTTGCAGCAACTTCCGAATACGCGGTTTAGAATTTAAATTTTAGGTATAGATGTCGTTACTCAACGTATTCTGTTTAGATGACTAGTAGCACTAGTAGCCACTGAAATATAGGTCGAGTTTTTTAATTCATCGATGGATTCATCGCATGATGCGCAAATGCAACGTTTCGCTGTATTTACGCGTCATGCGATGGATCCATCGATGAATTAAAAAACTCGCCCATATACTACCTGAGGCGCGTTCGAAAACTCCACCCGGGTGTTTTCCTCTCTCATTGAGTGTTTATGATAAGTCGAGTACGAGTTAGTTCCACTAGGGTCGAAAAATGTAATAAGCACAACTATCTAATATCTTCATGGTTCAAGACAATTCAGTACTGTTTTCCGATGCTCGAGTAGAGGTTGCGTTCCGTTTCACGCATTATGCGCGCATTGTCTACAATATACGTAACATGAACTATAGATAAATGCGCGCATATGCATGAAACGGAACGCGGCCTTAGTTTGAGTTAGTTGGAGTTAGCTAGAGTAGCATAGCGAATAATGTGAGCATCAGGTAGTTGATTTTCAAAAAATGTTAGTTATTAATAAGTTAATCTCATATAGTATGTTTATACCGAACGTTTAATACGCGTATCAATTAGTAACTTTATATATAATTATTCTAATTTCGGCGATGCAATATATTCAATTAATACGATACGTGTTTCTAATCAGTATTGCACTACTTCAATATGACGTTGTTTATATACATCAAAATCAAAATAATTCAACATAAAATTACTAATTGGTACGCGTATTAAACATACATAATTCGGTTACTAAGTTGTCTTGAACCATGAAGATACTAGATGGTTGTGCCTATTACGTTTTGACGTTAGTGGAACTAACTCGTACTCGATTTAACGTACTCGATTTAACACCCTTTATCTCACTCCTGTATCTTTCTCACTTCAACGCAGCGAGTGCACCCGGATAGAGTTTTCGAACGCACTCCTGGAACGCGCGCTACCTCTTGAGTATTGCGGGATGAGAGAGAGCATGCTTGTAGGTCTCGAACAGTCTTTGTCTAGTACAGTCTAAACCAAAAGCTAAGTCGGCTGATTTCTAAACATAAGTTGAATCTCCGAATTAGGAACCATCTTTGCCTTGTTTTTCTTAATAATAAGTTGATAAGTAAATACTAATAAATGAGAAAAAATATATATATTTTTTATATCTTCAACTTTCGTTCATAAGCTTAAGTCATTGCCATTTAGTAGTCACTGCTTTTTATATTATCTCTAACTTTTAACTTGGATTGTATCACATTTTCCCCACTCTCGACTATACTATGAACCAGACAAGGATAAGAGAAGAAATAAGGAACCTCTCTCTCATCCCGCACGCCTCAAGAGGGGGAGAGTCCCGATTGACCACAGTACGATTGGACACAACCAACCGATGAAAAGAATTATCTAGTGAATTACTAGGTCGAATCAATCATTACAATCTGTGTTCAATCGTATCGTAGTTAATCGGGTCCCACCCAACTATCTAGCCTTATCTAAAATCATGAAGTAAGAAAGAAGGAGATCAAACTCCGTTTTTCATTTATTTGATTGATTGATTTATTAATATTGCAAAGCACTGAGGCCGGTGTCCCATTAGGCGGAAATTCTTAACAGAACGGAACGCGCGTACCAATCACAATAAAGGTGCGGGTCCAATGGTCGGTAAACATATCCGTATCCGTAACCATAAACAAAATCGAGTCGTGATTGGTCGTGATATATATCATGACTGCATAATGCAGGATTCACACCGCGTCCCATGTCCGACGTACGAGGTCCGATATCCAATAGGAGAACAACTTTCTAATATAGAATTCAATTCTCCATTGGAAAGCTATTCTTTTATTGGATATCGGACGTCTTATGTCGAATATCGGACGCGGTGTAAATCCTGCATAAAGTGACCAGCGTCCCGATTTTTCACTCTTTATCCCAAATTTTTTCGAGTGCTATTCGGGACACCGATTTGTCATTACTTTCAATGATTATCAAATAATTTTCGGATCTTTTTATCCCCCTCTTCCCGCCCCCCGCTTCACACATTTATGGTTACGTTCAGATTCCCTACCCGGGTGCACTCTAATACTAGAAGTGCTATAGTATATGTAACATATACTATAGTGTTTCTAGTAATAGAGTGCACCCGGGTAGGGAATCTGAACGCACCCTATGAAGTGTCCCGAATTCAAGTCTGGGAATCTTAGGTCTGTTCTTTTCAGCTGCACTGTTGCACTGGTGCAATAAGTTAGAGTGAGACAAATATGTTTTATTTCACTTTAGCTTATTGCACCAGTGTAGCAGTGCAGTTGAAAAAAACAGTCGACCCACACACATTGGTCACCTTACTTTAGCTGCGTTCCGAAATTCACTGTCATACTGAAAATCTATAATTCATGTTACGTATACTATAGAATTTCAGCACTGGCAGTGAATTTCGGAACGCAGCCTTTATCTCAATTTCATATTTCTCTCGTTCCAACGCAACGAATGCACTTAGGTGACGTTTCGCAACACATATCTAACGTACAGATAAAATTTCATGGAGATTGGCGAGGAAGTTTGGCTATTATAGAAGTTTCATATAATAGAGTATTTGTAGGAAAATAAGGAAGAACTCGTTATTGAGCGCTACCATGGCACATGATTCAGAGTCAGCTCGAAAAATTAAGAGGCACAATGTGGTATATCATTTGTTATAGCAATTATAATTTATTTAATAAAAATATATGTTAAAATGTTGCAATTATATTTCAGAAAAAGGCTATAGCACTTATAAAAGAGAACATTGATAAGAAAAACCATAGAATTGCGAATGAAGTTGCAAGTAATAACAAAATTGCTCTTCACTGCAACAGCTCCCAAAATAGCAAGAAAAAAAGACGGGTGTCAGTCGTCGGATTTTCGAGAAGTTTGGCACTGTCCGAAATGCAAATGTATATTGCACGTCAAGACTGGAAGCATGCACTGAACTTGTTTCCTAGGCTACTTGAATATTCTAATGATATAGAGCCTCTAGTGTGGAAGTACGCATTCATAATTTTATTACACATGAACGATCCATCACATCTCCGTGACTTTCTTGAGCAATGTGCTGGTACTCACAGTTCAAATAGCAGTATATTATTGGAGAGATTGCTATTATTACCACTTCAGGAGAAAAAATGATAGATCTTTTGAAATAAAATATATTGACATATTTATGGTAAGTCTGTATATATAGTATCTGTTAGGTACAAATCTTTGTACAATAATTGTGTTACATCTGATTAAACTGTAACTGTCATTATGTACGTTCATCTTTTTTTTCTCAGTAGTGTATTGATTATTTATATTTATACACATTGAGTACGAAAGCAATTAACAAAATTATATGTAGTATAAAGATATTTTTATGATAGTTTTTACTTGCTTTCGTACCATGTTCGAAATATCATGTTTCATTCCATGTCCATCACGTTTCAGATTACCAACAATTTTTATTTATAATCCGCTGATAATCGCGATTTTAGAGAGAAATGATGTGATGTTGATGGTGTGGCGACGATAATAATAGTGATATAATATAGCAATAATATAACATTATATATAATTGCTATTAACATATCGTCGGCCATATTAGAATACATAACTCACAAAATTCCAATTTCCAGGAGATTTTTTCAAATAATGTAAAATTTGTCTCTCGATAAGTCTGATGAAATGAAGAACTCAATTTTGTTAAAAATTTAAGTTAGGTTTTCTAGTTTGGTCGATAATACACAATATTTTATATATATATATCCCCTTGTATATTATATAATAATATAAAATATATATTATTATATACAATACACACGCATATATATGTATAATAATAGCTATTAATACATACTATTTACAAATATATTTTGATTATTTGTTCGAACTGTTGATACTATCGCGTTGTTACAGATTTGCTTAAAAATTACAGTTGCTTAAAAATTTATAAAAAAAAATTCCTTCTCTCTCTCCTACAATAAAAAAAATTTTATTTTTTAGAAATTTGCAAAGAAAATGCACTTGCCACAAATAAGAATGGTTATATTTTGCTTACAATTTCGAATGACCTCATTCATCAGGTATATATGCTTTTATACGTGAAAATCAGTCAGTCAAAGCAGGGCTACTTAAGAAAATGTTCAAAATAATGTCATTGTGTATGTCACTAAATAAAAACTCAGCACTATATCTAATTTGCACGCATTTCAATTACGAAATTAAGGCTCCTGGTTGCTCATTGCGGTCATCTTAATTGATATTAGCAGGAAAACAAACACGAAAAGTATATTTACATATATATATATATATATATATATATATATATATACATATACATATATACATATATACTCAAGATTCTTGCAAAATACGTCATAATAAACTGAAAAGAAAATAATTCTAATATAATAATTTTAATAAATATAAAATAATTTTATATATAAAATAAAAAGAAATATATAACATTATATATAATAAAAATATTACGTAACATTATACATGTATAAAAATAAAAAATTAAGTGTCATATATATATATATATATATATATATATATATATATATATATATA